ACCGGGCTGGAGGTGGCGGGTCGCGCGGGGACGGGGCCGGGAACGGCGCCGGGGCCCCGCGTGGAGCTGGGGCGGGCGCCAGGACCCAGCGTGGGGCCGGGGCCGGCGCAGGGACCCCGCGAGTTGCGCGGCGCGGGGCTGAGAGCAGGGCTCGGGCACCGCGGGTTGCGCTGGGGCTGCGGTCCCGCCGGGGAAGGCAGGAGGAGGAGGAGGAGGGAGCGGAGGAAGGCAGAGGTCCCCCGGGGCTGCTGCAGGGGCTTCCCTCGCGGCCGGCGGGTGAGCAGGGGCGGCCGCTGGCCCAGGGGGCTGTGGTCGCTGCGTTTCCTTTCTGCGCTTGTTTCTCCGCTCCTGGTTTCGCCCCGGTTGCGTTCGCTTCGGCTGGGACCGCACGTGTCACCACGCGTGTGCCGGCCGCGCTGGCGCCCGCGAGGAGCTCGCCTGGCGCGGGTGGCAGCAGAGCAGCAGGGGTGTCCGCCCGCCGCTGCCCCTGCCCGGTGGGGACACGTCCCCCGTGCCCGGGGAACAGGCCCTGCGCGGGGCGCCTCCTGCGCGATGCCCGTCCCGGGGGGGCAGCCAGACCAGGCTGGGGATGGCACGGGCGGCGGAGCGGGGCCGTGGGCAGGAGGAGGGCGCTGGGGCCTGCGGGGGCCGCGGGGCAGAGCCCAGGACTGCGCGAGCCGGGCGGGCGGCGCGCGGGCCCCGCGGGCTGAGCGGGGAGGCGGCGGCGCTGGAGCGGGGCCAGGGGTGGCACGTGCGGAGCGCCCACGTCCCCGCCGCCCCGCGCCCACGGCCCCACCGCTCCGTACTCGCTGCTGCCGCTGCTCTTCCATCCTGCCCGCTGCTCCACTGGGGAGGCCGTGGGTGGCTCCTCGCTGCGCCTCGTGGCCGGCACCATCTCCCCGGTCTCCCTGCGCCCTGCAGGCCCCCGCGATGTGCGGCCGGATCCTGCTCCTCGCTGTGCTCCACGCGCTCCTGGGGTCCCTGGCCGCTGCCGTGCAGAAGAGGAGCCAAGGTGGGTGCCGAGGCCCTGCTGTCCCCTCTGCGGCCTCGGGCCGTGGCACTGTGACACCCTGGCTGTAGGTGTCACGAGTTTGTCCCCTCTGCTATTCTCACGCCACGGGGCCACATCCCACCAGGGGGCTGACGGGTGGCGGTGGGGAGCAGTGCTGCCTGCCCCGTGTCCTGGCGCTGTCCCCGCGCGGTGTCCGTGGGCAGGAGCCTGAGCGCGCTCGCCGCCCCGCAGAGACCTGCGTGGACGTGTACGCGGCCGACATCGCCTTCCTGGTGGACGGCTCCTCCAGCATCGGCCGGAACAACTTCCGCGTCGTGCGCGCCTTCATGGAGGACCTGGCGCGGCCCTTCGTGCACGTGGTGGGCGAGCGGGCGGTGCGCTTCGCCGCCGCGCAGTACAGCGACGAGCCGCGGTGAGCGCCGGCGCCGAGGGGCCGCGCGGCACGGGGGCTGCCGCGGCCGCCCGCCTGACACGGTGCCCCCCGCGCCGCAGGGTGGAGTTCTCCTTCTCCCAGCACGCCAACGGCACGGCCGTCAGGAGGGCCATCCAGCAGCTCAGCTACAAGGGCGGCAACACGCGCACCGGCGCCGGCCTCCGCTTCGTCGCCGACACCTTCTTTGGGCCGGCGCAGCAGCAGCGGCCCGGGGTGCCCAAGGCAGGCGGGGGCCGGGGGGCGGTGGCGGGCAGCGCGCGGGGCCCTTGCTCAGCGCTCTCGCCCGGCCCCGCAGATCTGCATCCTCATCACGGATGGCAAGTCGCAGGACGACGCGGAGCAGCCGGCGGCGCGGCTCAAGGGCCAGGGCGTCAAGGTCTTCGCCGTGGGTGAGCGGCGGCTCCGCAGCCTGGGCGCCGGGGGCTGCTGTGGTGGCACCTGCGTTCCTGCCCTCACCAGGCGCCCGTCCCACAGGCATCAAGAACGCTGACCGCGGGGAGCTGCTGCGCGTGGCCTCGGCGCCCACCGACGCCTTCTTCTTCTACGTCAACGACTTCAAAATCCTGGGCTCACTGGTGCCGCTCATGGTGCGCCGCGTGTGCACCACGGCCGGGGGCACCCTGCGCCCCGCGGGTAAGGCTGCCCCGCCGCCGCCGCGCGGTGGGCTCGCCACGGTGCCCCCACTGTGCCCAATGCCCCGCTGCTCTCACAGGCCAACCGTGGCACGCAGGCCCCGCCGAGCTGCAGTTCGTGGAGCGCGGCACCGACGTGCTGCGCGTGCGCTGGACGGCGGCCAGCGGCCCCGTCACCGGCTACACGGTGCAGCACGTGCCGCTCACGGGCCTGGGGCAGCCGCTCGCGGCCGAGCGGCAGGAGGTGAGCGCCGCGCGCCCGCAGGGACCGCCCGGGGTGGCCGCGTGGTGACGCTGCCCCCGCGCAGGTGAGCCTGGGCCCCCGGGAGACGAGCGCCGTCCTGCGCGGGCTGCGCGCGGGCACCGAGTACCTGGTCACCGTCATCGCCCAGTACGCCAACAGCATCGGCGAGTCCGTGTCGGGCCGGGCGCGCACCCGTGAGTAGCGCTGCGCTCCCTGCCCGCGGCACCGCCACGGGCACCGCTTGGGAAGGGGCGGCCGGCGGGCGCTGGTGCCAGCAGGTCGCTCCGAGCGGGAGGCGCCTTCCCGACGCTCTCGCCCTTCCGCCCTAGAGAGCGGCGCGGCCGTGCGGGACCTGCGCGTGGTGGAGACGGGACCCACGTTCCTGCGGCTGGCCTGGCAGCCCGGCGCCGAGCCCCCGCAGGGCTACGTGCTCAGCTACCTGCCGCAAGGTGAGCGCCCGTTTGGGAGCGCTCGCCTGGCTGTGCATGGGCGCACGTGGGGATGCGCTGCAGGGAGGCGCGTGAAGGGACTGCATGCGTGTGTGGGGCAGGGTGTCCAGGTGTGCGTTGTAGCAGCGCGGGCACCCGGAGGGTTTGCTGTGCGCCTGGGAGCGCCCTCACCCAAAGGCTCAGGGTGGGTGTTTGAGTGCGCGCTGCACTGGAGGGCTCAGCGCGTGGGTGTGCATGCAGGCACCCTTGTGCACACCCTGCATGCGCGTGCATGTGCGTGCATGCATGTGCATGTGCATGCATGCATGTCCCCCTCGTGGGCTGCAGTGCAAGACCCCCTTGCCGGCTGCACCCTGCGCTGCGCCGCTGCACCTGGAGGGCGCTCCCTGGCCTGAGGCGCTGCGGGTACCGTGCCCTGGCAGCCGTCCCGGCCTCTCCCTGCCCGCTGGCACCGCCTGGCATTCCCGCGGCCCCCCTTCCCCATGGAGCGGTGGCAGAGCCCTGCGCGCATCTCTCTGCATCCCGGCAGGAGCGGCGCAGGCCGAGGAGCAGAGCCTGGGCTCCAGCGCGCTCTCGGCCACCCTCGCCAACCTGCGCCCTGACACCGAGTACGTGGTGACGCTGCGGCCCCGCTACGCGCAGCAGCCCGCGGCCCCGGCCACCGTCACCGCCCGCACACGTAAGCACTGCGTGCGGCCGAGCCGGGGGCACAGGCACCCCCTGTGACCCGTTGCTGCACGGGGGGCACCCGTGCGGCCCCAGCACCGGCGCGGCGAGCAGCTCGTGCTGGCGCCCTGGCACGGGGGATGCTCCCAGCCCCAAGGGCTCTCGCGGCACGTGGGGCTTGGGCACGCGCTCAGCGTGCAGCCTCCTGGGCGTGTTGCCCTAAGTGCTTCTCCAAGCAGCAGCAGGTAGTGCCAAGGAATGTAGGTGCGTTTGGGTGCTTTTCTTTTTTTTTAGTGAGGTCCTTGGCTCTTGAGGAAGAAAATGCTGTTTCCGCAATGGGAGAGTGTTTCTAGAGCAGTTAAAAACACTGCAGGGAAGCGTGTGCTGGGAAGGGCTGGGGCTGGGGCCTCGGGGAAACTCCTTTGACCACCCAAAACCCTGGCAAGGCGATTTCTCCAGCTTCCCGGCCAGCCGTAACCTGCACACAGCATTTAAAGCACTAAAAGCAGCACGTTGTGGTTCCAGCAAAACGCCTTTGCTCGGGGCCGGCCGCTTTGAAGGAAGCGCCCTGGGTTTCGTTAGGTGACCCAGGCAGCGCGTGCACACCGGGAAAAGCGCTTTGTGTTTTTCCAAGCAGAGGCAATTCCCGGCGCCTCCGGCCTCACCGGAGCCGGTGCCGGTTCACGGTGCCGGTTCGCGGTGCCAGGGCTGCGTGTCGCCCGCAGAGCGCCCGGAGCCCGTGCAGCGCCTGGCCGCGCACAACGTCTCGGCGCACTCCATGCTGCTGGCCTGGGCGCCCGCGCACGGCGCCTCCGGCTACCGCGTGTCCTGGGCCGCCGCCGCAGGTAGGTGCCGTGCGGTGCTGCCGGCATTGCCGCACGCCGGCAGCGTCGCTGAGCGGCCGCTGCGCCGGCTCCCGCAGGCCGCGACGTGCACAGCGTGGAGCTGGACGCCGGGCGCACGTCGCACGCGCTGGGCGGGCTGCAGCCCGGCACCGACTACGTGGTGACCGTGGCCCCGCTCTACGGGCGCCTGGAGGGGCCGGCGGCCTCGGTGACGCGCAGGACAGGTGGGTGCCCGGGCCGTGTGGCCCAGACGGGACGGGGAGGCTGCAGGGGGGTTGCTGTGGGGTGACGGCAGAGGGGCCCCGTGTTAGCTTGGCACCATGGTGGTGCCCAGCACCCTGCTGGGGATCGCGCCTGGTGCTGCGGGGCCAGCTGCCCACGGTCCCTGTGCTCCCTTCGGCAGAGGCCGGCGTGGAGCAGACCCTGAGGACCAACATCCTGGGCCCCACGGCCATCGAGGTGCTCTGGACAGCGATCCGCGAGGCCCGCGGCTACCGCCTCGAGTGGAAGAGAGCCACAGGTGGGCCTGGGCACCAGAGGCGGCGCTGGAGGTGGCCCAGAACCCCCCGAGGTGGCGTCCAGGGGTCCGGCTTGATGATCCGTCTCCATAGGACCCGAGGCACCCAGGACCGTGTCCCTGCCCAGCAGCGTCAGCACCTACCAGGTGACGGGGCTGCAGCCCGGCACCGAGTACCGCATCACGCTGTACACGCTCTACGAGGGCGGCGAGGTGGCCACCCCTGTCACCACCTTCCAGACGGGTGAGTGGCCCCGCGCGGGCAGAGGGGACCTCCTGCCCCCGACCCCGTGCAGGGGGGACTCAGCCCCGTGCCCCACGGGCAGGTGCGGAGCCACCACTGGGCACCGTCTCCGACCTGCGGCTCATCGAGGAGAGCGGCCGGAGGGTCCGGCTGGGCTGGAGCGGCGTCCCGGGTGCCACGGAGTACAAAGTGACCGTGCGCAACACGCAGGGTGAGCGCGCGGGGCCGCGGGGGGCCGGGGCGGGCCGGCGGGCGCCGCTCAGCGCCGCGCGTCCCCGCAGACGGCACCGAGAGGACGCGGCGGGTGCCCGGCGCCCACACGCAGCTGGAGCTGGGCGACCTGCGGGAAGGCGTCGGCTACGTGGTGCGCGTGTCGGCGCTGGCGGGCGGCCGCGAGGGCAGCGCCGCCGCGCTCAGCCTGCGCCTCCGTAAGTGCCGCGGCGCTGGCCACAGCGCGGGGTGGCTCTGCCCGGGGACGGGGTGACGCGCGCCCCGGGTGACACGTGGCGCCGCAGGGGCCCCCGCGCTGGGCAGCGTCACCGAGCTGCGGGTGATGGAGGCCGGTCCCGGTCAGCTGCGGGTGACGTGGAGGGGGCTGCCGGGCGCCGCGGGTTACCGGCTCACCTGGCGAGGCGCCGAGGGTGAGTGTGACGGGCAGCAAGGGGCCACGGCCGCCCTGCATCCCTCCCTCCCTGCATCCCTTTCTCCATCCATCCCTCCCTGCATCCATCCATCACTCCCAGGGCCGGAGCAATCCCGCCTGCTGCCCGCCGAGCCCACCGCCTTCACCATCGAGGGGCTGAGCACCGGCACCCTCTACGTGGTCGGCGTCTCGGCCGTGGCCGAGGGCTGGGAGGGCAGCGCCGTCACCGCCACGGGCCGCACAGGTGAGGCCGCCCCGGGGCTGGCTGGCGGTGGCCGTGGTGGCCACCAGCCCCCGTGACGCCCCCGTCTCGCGCAGCGCCCGAGCAGGTGGGGACGGTGACGCGGCTGGAGGTGCTGCCGTCCGGGAGCGGCGTGGCCCGCGTCACCTGGGCCGGCGTGCCCGGAGCCACCGCCTACCGCGTGGTGTGGAGCCGGCGCGACGGTGGGTGCCAGGGCAGGGCCATGGTGCCGGCGGGATGCGGCGGTCGCACTGATGTCCCCTCCGTCCTGCCAGGGGGCTCGGAGAGCAGCCGGCTGGTTCCTGGTGACACCGACTCCTTCGACATCCCCGGGCTGCAGGGAGGCGTTTCCTACACCGTGAAGGTCACGGCGCTCGTGGGCAACCGCGAGGGCAAACCCGTCTCTGTCGTCGTCACCACACGTGGGTGCTGCGCCACCCCTGGATCCCCTCACCCCAGGGCTGGCATCGCCCCTGCCCCTCACGTCCCCCGTCTCCCCAGCAGCCGAGGCCACCCCCGTGTCCCCCGTGAGCGACTTCCAGGTGACGGAGGCCTCGGAGAGCCGCCTGCGCCTGGCCTGGGCGCCGGTGCCCGGCAGCACCGGCTACCGCCTGACGTGGCGCCCGGCGGAGGGTGAGCGGTGCCACCGCGTGTCCCCGTGGCCCGGCCGCCCCCTACGGACCCTGTTCCCGTGGTCCGGCCGCCCCTCACGGTCCCTGTCCCCGCACAGGCGGCGCCCAGCGCAGCCAGCAGCTCCCGGCCTCGGCCCGCGCCTACGATGTGACGGGGCTGGAGCCCGGCCGGCGCTACCACGTCACCATCACCTGCCTGGTGGGCGGCCGCGAGAGCCAGCCCGTCTCCATCACCGCTGCTACCGGTAAGGGCCTGCGGCCGGGGCAGTGTGGACACCTGCAGCAGGATGGAGTGGCACAGGGGCACCCTTGGGACCTCCCTCCCCTGCTCCTGTGCAGCCGCTGCCGGCCGTGTCACGGGGCTGCGGGTGACGGAGTCGCGGAGGGACTCGGTGACGCTCGCCTGGACGCCTGTCCCCGGCGCCTCTGGGTACATCCTGTCCTGGAGGCTCCCTGGAGGTAAGGGCGAGGGGACAGCGAGGGCGGCGCGGCCGCTGGTGCCGCGGCCCTCACCATGTGCTCGGCGGCAGGCGGAGGCGACGCGCGGCACACGCTGCCCGGCAGCGCCAGCTCGCACCGCGTGCGCGGGCTGCGCCTGGGCCAGCGCTACACCTTCACCGTCCGCCCGCTCTTCGGGAGCACGCCGGGCACCGAGGCCTCCGTCAGCGAGCGCACAGGTAGCGCGCGGGGCGCCGGGCCCGCGGCGCCGCCGGCACCGGCCTCCCCGTCGCGCTCACTTCTTTCCTGGCGCAGTGTGCAGGGACGCGCGTGGTGACGTTGTCTTCCTGGTGCACGGCACGCGGGACAGCGTGCCCGGTGCTGACGCTGTCCGTGCACTGCTCTCCGGCACCGTGGCGGCCCTAGGACGCCTGGGCCCCGACGGCACCCAGGTAGGATGACGTGGGGACGTGGGGATGGGGCTGCTGGGGGTGCAGCCGTGCCCACCGCCCCCCGCCACCACCGCAGGTGGGCCTGGCCGTGTACAGCTACCGCAGCCTGCCCTGGCTCCTGCTGAACCGCTCCAGCGACCTGGGCTCCGTGCTGGAGCAGATCCGCGCACTGCGCTACGAGGAGCCCAGCGGCAACGCCATCGGTGAGCGCACGCGGGCGGGGGGCATGGCCCGGCCTGGCGTCCCCCTCACCGCGTTACGCTGGTTTCGCAGGCGCTGCCATCAGCTTTGCCGGGAGATACCTGCTGAGCGCGGGCGCGGGGCGCCGGCCCGGCGTGCCCGCCGTGCTCGTGGTGCTGGCGGACGGGCCCTCCGGCGACGACGCCATCGCCGCCGCCCGGGACGTCAAGGCGGCGGGTGAGGAGTGCGCGTGGGAAGCGGGGCCCGGCCGCCGCGGTGGCCTCTGCTCCCCGCCGCGTGCTGAGGGTGCCCGTGGCGCCCTCAGGGGTCCGGGTGCTGGCGGTGGCCATGGAGGGCGCGGACCGGGAGCAGCTGCGCCGCGTGGTGAGCGGCGAGGACGCGCGCAACGTGCTGCAGGCGGGCGGCGCGCCGGCCGAGCTCGAGGGCGAGCTCAGCGACGAGCTCTGCACCATCATTTCCACGGGACGGGTAAGGGCTGTGGGGCGCGCTGGGGGGCTGCCCCGCGTGGGCACCTCTGCTCATGTGGCCCTGTCTCACAGCCGGAGCCGGAGCCCTGCGCCGTGCAGTGCCCGCGGGTGAGTAGCCAGCCGCGCAGCGGGGAGGAGGGCACTGGGGCTGGCAGGGTGAGGGGGGCAGCCCCCCGACCAATTGTGCGCCCCTTTGCAGGGCGAGAAGGGGGACCCCGGCCAGATGGTGAGTGTTGCGGTGTCCCCTTCCCGCTTGGTGGCTTTGGGGGACCCGTGTCCCCCGAGACCCTGCTGATGCCAATGCGGGGTGTATGCTAAGTGCCTCCTCTGTCTTTGCAGGGACCACCAGGACATGCAGGACCACCAGGTCCCCGTGGAGAGCCGGTAATGTCCTGCATGGGGACACGTAGGGGAAGACGGGCACACGAGCGCTGTAGGGTCAGCTCCGTGCACGGAGCAGTGTGCCCTGGGGCCCCGTGTCCTGCCGGAGGGTGGGCCAGGGCAGGGGCCCATGGAGCCCTCAGCCTGCCCTTGCTGCCGGGCTGGAGGGGCCTTTCCCCGTGTCACCCCCAAGCTGTGTCTGCTGCAGGGCCGCCACGGGCTGCCTGGCCCTCCGGGGCCCGTGGGGCCCCCGGGCACCCCAGGACAGATCATCGAGCGGCCAAGCAAGGGGGACAGGGTGAGTGCATGGGGACCTGCTCCTCCATCCTGCACACGCCCCAGCCCAGGACAGGGGAGTCCTCTGGGGGACCCCGTGTCTTTGCTGGGGGTCCCTCCGTGACACTGCTCTCTCCGCAGGGATTCCCGGGAGCTGACGGGGTGCCAGGAAGCCCTGGGCGCCCTGGGAGCGCGGGGCCCCCCGGGCAGCCGGTGAGTCTGGGGTCCCCCCAACCTCGCCGCCCAGCCCCACTCCAGCCCCTCGTGGCCCCAGGCTCTTGGCCTCCCCCAAGTTCTCCCTGTCCCTCTCTGCCCTTGTTCCCTGCTCCGGGGGCTCCCTGTAGCCAGCAGGGCCATTGCGACTGCCGCAGACCCGGTGTACGGGCCGGGCTGGCTCCAGCCCCGGGCTGGGCTGCAACCCCAGGTCCTGTCCCTGCTCCCCGTGCTGGCACATGGACAGGACCCCGCTGGGGCAGGGCGCACGCTCACATCGTGGCTGTGTTTTGCAGGGCAGTCCGGGTGTCCCTGGCCCCCGAGGGGATCCGGTGAGTATGGTCCACACTCTCCATGTCCTTTCCCTGTCCCCCACCCTTTCCCTGTCCTTTCCCCATTCCCCATCCTTTCCCCATCACTCTCGCCTTTCGTTTTGCAGGGCCCGCGGGGGCCAACAGGACATTCTGGCCCGAAGGGGGAGAAGGGAGAGCCGGTAGGTGCTGGGCCATGGGCTGCCTGCGGGTGCCCCTCGGCCCCTGGCACCTCCCAGCGTGGCCCCGGGGACCCAGCGGCGTGTGTGGATTCACCGGCTCTTTCCTGCTGTCCAGGGTGATCCCAGGGTCGTTGCGGGCGGCGAGCAGGGACGGAAAGGGGAGCCAGGCGCCCCGGTGCGTATGGGGGGGGCGATGCCAGGGCGGGTGATGGACCCTCCACCAGCAGCTCCTAGCCCTGCTGCATCCTGAGCATCTCTCACGCGCAGGGCAGCCCCGGCCTGCCTGGCAGCCCTGGCCTCCGAGGACCGTTTGGAGACCCAGGCCCCGCCGGGGCAGCGGGACCCATGGGCCCCCCGGGTCCCCCGGGACAGTTTGTGAAGGTGGGTGCACAGCGCGTGGGGACGGGATGGGATGGGGTGCGGGCAGGGGTGCTCCCTGCTCGCCGTGCCCGAGCACGCTGTCCCCTGCACGTGCCACTCGCCGTGCCCTGCACACGTATGCACGTGGGAGCTGTGCCCAGGGCTGTGTGCTGTGTGGCCACCATCATGCCGCTGGCCTCAGCGCTGTGTGACCCTCCTGTGCGAGCAGGGCAGAGCGGGGCACGGGGAGAGCCCAGCCTGGCCCTTACCCGCGCTCCTCGCTCTTGCAGGGGGAGAAGGGAGACCGTGGAGAGAGGGTAAGTGGCTCTGCGTGCACCTAGGATGGGGGACACTCCGCAGCGCACATGTCCTGCGGGTGCCTGGGGACACCGCAGCCTCCCCAGGGTGCTGGGGAGGGCAGAGCCGTGTCCCCGCGGCGGGCGGCTCACAGCACCGGGCAGGGGGCTAGAACTGACTCTTGCCTCTATAGGGTCCCCCCGGCCTGGTGGATGGAGCAGCGCCCCAAGGGGAGCCCGGCACCCCGGTGAGTGCGGCCGTGGGGCGGTGGGAAGGGGACGGGGCACCGCGGGCAGCCCTGTGTCCCCGGGGCTGAGCCGGGCCCCTCACCGAGCCGCTCTCCTGCAGGGACTGCCTGGGGACCCTGGGCCCCGGGGCCCCGCTGGCCCCCCTGGACCAAAGGGAGACAAGGTAAGCGGGTGGCGGGGGTGGTTCGGGCAGTGCCCCCGTCCCCCTGCCCCGTGCGGGGCTCACTCCTGTCCCCCGGGAGGTCAGTGCCCTGTGCTGGGCATGGCTCTGCGCGTCCCCCCACGACATGAGCGCTGCTCTCGGCTCCCCAGGGTGACGGCGAGGAAGGTTTCCCGGGGCCGCCCGGCCGCCCAGGGGACCCCGGGGATCGGGTGAGTTTCCCGGAGGAGGTGAGAGGGGCTGGGAGCGGGACGCTCGGCGAGGGCGCCGCGGCATCGCTCCTCTGCGGCCAGCCCCGGTGCTGCCTGCGTGGCCGGCGGGTGGCAGGGAGGTGACAAGTGACGTGTCCCTTGCTCCTCTCTAGGGACCTCGGGGACCCCCAGGAGAGCAGGGGAGGAAGGTGAGTACCAGGAGCAGCCCAAACGGTGCCGCGGGGATCCTGCCCATCGCTGCGGCATGGCTCGGCCGCGCGCCTGCCCCATGCTCCCTGAGGGAAAGGGCTGGTTCCGTGCCGTGCCGGGACCGTCCCCCGGGACGTGTGGGACCTGCCAGCCCTGACCCATCCCTCCCATCACGGCAGGGAGAGCGCGGGGCGCCGGGGGAGCTGGGAGAGATGGGCGAGAAGGTGAGGCCGCCCCGAGGGGCTCGTGCCCTGCGGTGCTGTCCGTGGGTGCCCGCGGGCTGCCGGGCACGGGCACTGCTCCTCGACGCTCCACGGTGCAGTGGGAGCCCCCAAACACCCCTGTGCTCCACTCCGCTCCGCTCCGCAGGGAGACCGCGGCGCGCCCGGCCCCCAGGGTGAGAAGGTAGGTGGCTGGGCTGGGTTGGGGGCACCCGGCCTCTACCTGACACGGGCATGGTGGCACCTCTGACTCCTTCCTCTCCCCTTCCCCTTGCAGGGCAATGCAGGGGCCCCGGGGCGCCCGGGGCTCTCGGGCAGAGAGGTGAGTCCAGCCGTGGGTGATGTTGGCGTTGGTGATGCCAACGGGTGCTGTTGGCTGCAAGGTCCAGCCTTGCCTCTCGGATGGGTGTCCTTGGTGAGGGTCCCCCGTGCGGGGCTGGACACCCCCGGCTCTCTGAGGGCCCTCTCTTCTCTCCGTGACAGGGAGCCCCAGGACCGGCCGGCCCGCGGGGAGACAAGGTGAGGAAGAGGAGGGAGGGCCTGGCCGGGCTGCTGGGCGCTGCGAGGGCAGGGGCTGCTGCTCATGCCCCTCTCTCCCACAGGGCGACCCAGGAGCACGTGGCGAGCCGGGCAAGCCGGTAAGCGCTGCCCATGCTGGGGTGTCCCCCGGGGTGACGGGGCAGAGCTGAGGGGCAGGTGCCTCCCTGGGGACACGTGCCCCAGGGCAGGGAGCTGCGCCCAGCGCTCTGTCCTCTCTGCCTCCCCCAGGCCCCCAGCGTGGCGGGCGCCAAAGGAGAGAAGGTAACTGGGGCGGCGGGCACGGAGGGCAGGGGGTGCCGGGTGCTGCAGGGATGCTGTGCTGCGGGCAGCTGCATCGCAGGCTGGCGCTGCAAGGCGGTGCCTGGGGCTGCCCGCCCTGTGCACGCAGGGAAGGGGGCTCTGCTGTCCGCGGGATTCAGGGCGCTGACGGGGCCCTTTGCTGCAGGGCGACAGCGGCTTTCCGGGGCCGGAGGGCCCCCCTGGTGCCAAGGGCAGTGTGGGAGACAAAGGAGCCCCCGTGAGTATTGTCCAAGGGCACCGGCCGCGCTGCCCGCAGCCCCTCCTCTGCACCAACCTGCTTCTCCTTGTGCCTAGGGCGCCCCTGGCCTCAGCATCCCCGGCCCGGCCGGCCCCAAAGGCGAGCCGGGCGAGCGCGTAAGTGTGGGGCGAGCGTGGGGCAGGGGCGCGGGCCGCTCGCCCTGTGCCGCTCCCTCATAACCAGCATCCCCCTTCCACAACCCCCAGGGTGTTGTCGGCCTCACGGGCAGGAGCGGCCCAAAGGTAACGCGCTGCGGGAGGCCTCGCTCCTCGTCCCTCTGCCGTGGCACACAGGGCCGTGGCACACAGGGCCGTCTCCTCTGGCCAGTGCCGCGTGCGGGGCGAGGACGGGCCCCGCAGAGCCTCCTCTCCCCGCAGGCGTGTGGGGCACCTTTGTCCCGCTAGCACCGGTGCCCCCTGCTCGCCCTGCTGCTGCTCTGACTCGCCTTCTCCTTCTCCTTCTCCTTCTCCTTCTCCTTCTCCTTCTCCTTCTCCTTCTCCTTCTCCTTCTCCTTCTCCTTCTCCTTCTCCTTCTCCTTC